TATCAAAATTTATAAATTGTTTAAATGCACGTAAATTTTATGTCAATCCATTTTATACAAATATTTTTAGGATTATCTCATTTGAATTCTGCAATAAGCAATTTTCTTATCACTCCTATTTATTTCTGTAAATAATAAATATATGAAATAATAAATAATAAATATATGAAATAATAAATAATAAATATGTGAGAATAATAAATTTACTATGTATTTCATATTTTGTTGTTGATTATTTAAAGGAATGAAATAATTTCGAAATATAAATATATGAAATAATAAATGTCTAAATTTACTTTTGTATTTTCCTTTCTTTAATATTTCATTATTTGTTATTGCTTATTTAAAGGATCAAAATAATTTCGAAAATATTCTTTAATGTGTAAATAATTTTTGAAGCCAAAAAATTGAAATGAAATTTTTTACTTAATTTATTATTTTACTTAATTTTGAACTTAATTTTATTACTTCGTTTCTTTTTTTTTTGTTTTTCAATTTATTAATTATACATTTTTTCTGTTTTTAAATTTATTAATTATCGTTTTTTATTGTTGAAAGTTTTACTTTTGTTTTTTTTTCTTTTTGTTTTTCAGTTCATTAATTATCGTTTTTTTTTATTGTTGAAAATTTTAAATTTTTTCATTGTTTTAAATTATTTCTAAAAATAATTTGAATATAAATATATTTATAAATTGTGAAATTTATTATTCTTCGTTTCGTTTTTTTTTTTTTTGTTTTTATTCCTCTAATTTGTTAAATTATGAAAATTTTTATAGCAATATTGTTGAATTATCAGAGCAAGAGAATATCTTATCAGACGTTTTATCAAAAGAGCAATCGATTGAAATCGTTGAAAAAAACGACGACAAAGAAGACGAATTACAAACGAAAGATTTAAAAATATTAAATCAAGAATTGAAAAACGATCAGGAAATTAAAAAAGCATTCGAGAAACAAAAATTTATATCTCACAATATGGTTGGTACTCTTTTAATTTATTATTTTATATTATACAAAATAATTATTCAATTGATTAAGAGAAATCGTTAAATATATATTTTTTTTAAAAAAAAAAAAAAAAAAACCATAACTAAATAATATTATCAAATTTATCAGTAAGATTTGATATTCGTTTTAGGTATTAAATTTATTAAGTGATAAATTTTTTTTATTAAGATAGTATTAGGAATACTATATACAGGCAGCGCAATTATGTGATTTCAATATGAGAGAGGATCGTTGTGCACCTGAATTACCAAGTACCGATGATGTTGAATATGCAAGAGCTGCAGCCTGGGCTAGTGAATCGTTAAATAATGTATTGAAAGATAAAAAAGGTAGTAAATTAATTTTATAAGTTCTTTTTATTTTTAATTTAAATATTATCAAATAAATTATATAGTATCAAACAAAAAAAAATTGCTAATTTTTGTTAATTATGAATTTTTATTAATTTATTAATTATGCTAATTTTTTTAGGTCGTCAATTGTTTCGTGTTTTCTTGCACGATGCATTGGCGGAAGAAAATTTATCATTTATTGAATCGTTTGAGAAATTCAAAGTAATGACTTCACTAGATGATAAAAAACAATACATTCAAGAATTCTTTGAAAAATATTCACCTTACGTCAATCTTAGCAGTTTAGCATTACAGGTAAAATATTACAGTGTTATTGTAAATAATTTTTAATCATTACAGGTAAAACTAAAAAAAATTATTTCTAATCTTTAATTAGTTCTTTTGTTTAAAATATTATTTGCATTTGAATTTGTTAATAGAATTTCTATTGAATGAATTCATTTTTTTACAAATGCTAACTTTTCTTTTCTGAAATTTCAACTTAAAAATGCATCATAGAAATTCATGACAATTACTAAATTATATAGCTAAAAAAAGGTATTATTCAAAAAGGTATTATTAGGCCTTTTTACTGGATCATCAAAATTATAAGACTATAGAAACCTAATGAATTATTATTACTAAACCTCCCACACATTTATCTAATTGTAAAACTTTCTCACATTGAAATTTCTAGAAGTTTAAAAATATTACTTTTGCATTACTTACAGTGTAAGATAAAAAAGTTACAGAGAATTAAAGAAACTGCAGTAAAAGATAATCCAGATCCAGCAGCATTTCTACTTGCCGTAAAAGAAGTAAACAGACTTTTGGAATGTGATCAATTTCCAAGATTTAAACGATCCGATATTTACATTAGCTTTCTAGAAAGAATTATGCCACGTGCATATGCTGAAAAATGGACAACAAGTTTTGAAGCACTTGTTGGAAATCAGGTCATACATTTTCTTTTTTTGAATTTTATTAATTTTCATATTTCATTCAATAATTGTAAATTTCTTAACAAGAGATGATCTCTTTCTCTTTCCCTCTTACTTCTTTTATCTTATCGGAACATTATTCATTTTACATATCATCGATTTCGTATTCAAATATCACCGATATCTATTTTCTCTGTAATAATAGAAATTTTTAAATAATAGGAAAAAGTTAAATTTTCATTTTCAATATTTAAAAATAATATTGATTACATTTTGATTGTACAATAGAAATTAATCATAAATATTTATATTCAAATTTTTAGGTTGGTCGACATTATTTTCGTTCCTTCTTGCGAAATATTCATGCCGAGGAAAATTTACGTTTTTGGGAAGCGGTAATTGAATATAAGCAAACGAAAAATAAAAGTGTTGCAATGCTTAATATGGGTCGAAATATTCAAAAGCAATATTTGGTTGAAGGAGCAAATAATGAGGTTATTTGTTTATTAATTAATTTATATTTAAATTTTAACTTTTAATCTTAACATTGAAATAAAAATAATCATCCAAAAATTACAGACAAATATTTGGTTTTCTTTTCTTTTTTTTCCTTTAAACGGTAATAATACTATTACTAATTTATATAGTAGTCATTAGTGATAGCAAAAACGACAATAACAACAACGGCAACAACACAACAACAACGACAACAACAACAACAATGACAATAATAGCAGCAATTACAGTAGAAAGAGATAGATAGATATAAGCTAGATGGTTTCGTTGATTCATTAATTTTATTATTGCAATAAAACTATTACTAATTTATATAGTAGTCATTAATGATAGCAAAAACAACAATAACAACAACAACAACAACAACGATAACAACAATGACAATGGCAATAACAATAGCAATTACATTAGAAAAAAATAGATATAAGCTAAATAGTTCCGTTAATTCATTAATTTTATTATTTATGAAATTAAATAGGAAACATTTGAGAAATTAAATGGTATCATTGAGTCCTAATTATTAATTATGAAATTAAATGGTACCATCGAGTTCTAATTATCATTTATGAAATTAAATGGTGTCATTATGAAATTAAATGGTATCATTGAGTCCAAATTATTAATTATGAAATTAAATGGTATCATTGAGTCCAAATTATTAATTATGAAATTAAATGATATCATTGAGTTCTAATTATTATTTATGAAATTAACTGGTATCATTGAGTTCGAACACTTCAATAATTTAAATAAATGAGCAGCTTAAATTAATGAAATATATAATTTTCTTCAATTAAATTTATTTTATGTATTTTTTTACTTTTTTATGAAATTTTAAACTTCTTCAGAATATTTTAGTTTTATAATTTCATGGAATAAAAATGCAGCAAAAGAAGAAAGTTTCAAAATGATTATTTTGAAAATATTTTCATTCAGATATTTCTACCATTTGGTTTACGTCAAGTGATTGAAAATAAAATTGAAACAGAAGATGTGGATAGTACATTATTCGATGAAGCGATAAAACATATCGAACAAGTACTTAAAAATGATCCATATGTACGATTTCTGCAATCAACCGAATACAACGATTTATTGGCTAAATTAAAATAAATTTCAAATTATAAATTATGTGAGAGAGAAAAAGAGAATGGTAGAAATCAATTGATGTTTTGTTCAAATATTATATAATTAAATGGGCAGTATTATAGAATGTTATTAACAATAACTATGAAGCATTTATTATTCAATTGTTTCATTAAATTGCTTCCAATTAATATTTTATAAATATTTTCAAATATTCAAATTTACAGTATGCAAACCAGGTATATTTATTATGATTGAGAGAGAGGGAGAGAGAGAGAGAAAAAAAGCTTTAATTACAAATTTGTTTTTCCTATTAATTTAAAAACAAAAGGTGCGGAATTATAATTTCATTTCGAAATTATAGGAAAGCGTTAAAAGAAAATAAAATATTTGAAGCAATTTATAATTGTTTTTTATTTTTAAAGTAGATGAATTAAAATATTTATTTAGCATTTCCTATTTTAATTTCATTTGTATTTCATTTCATCAAACTATTATGGTTAAAAGAAATGTATTGCTAATTGGAATAAATATTTCATTTAATTATTTAAATTCACATTAAAACAATTAAATGATAATACTATTAATTAAAATGATTTAAATTGAAGAGGGAAAAAAAAGTTGGAAATGATTTTTAATTTTTTGCATAAAAATTATTTGCAAAATTAAAGTGCACGAGAAAATCTGTCAGCAAATAAATTCATCATTGCATGGAAATTTATAATTGAAAGAAATCACATAAAGCTTCTTAATCAATTAAATTAATTATTAAGAAAAAACAAACATTCATCAGAAATGTTTTCGTTTTTTTCAAACTTTGAAAAGGAATTTTTGAAAAAGTTATAATTACAGGTGTTTAAGAATTTGCAAAAAATATAGTTAATAAATTTTTAAATTCAATTCTCATATTTTAGCATTTATTTCTATTATATAAAATTATCATTTCAATTTCACAAACTTTTCTTAACTATTCAAAATTGCCTTTTGTTTTATTCTTTTGAAAACGTAATAATTACAGGTGTTTAAGAATTTACAAAGAATGTAGTTAATAAAAAATTTTCAAAATTCAATTCTCATATTCTAACATTTATTTCTATTATATAAAATTATCATTTCAATTTCGCAAACTATTCTTAACTATTCAAAATTGCCTTTTGTTTTAGTTTAATTATTTTTTTAAAAAAAAAATTAATTTTCTAAAAATAATTAATATTCTCATAGATGCAAACATTCATTCAAATGTAAGCATTTCATTCCAATTCATTGAAATTCTTTTTAAACAGCTTATTTTAATTAATTAATAAGTTATTGTCATTTTGAGAAATTTTGAAATATAAAGTCTGAAATTTAAATTATAGTTGCTAATGAGACGAAGTTTAGAATTTATTTTAATTATAGTTGCTAATGAGACGAAGTTTAGAATTTATTTTTCTTTTTAAACAAAAGAAATAGAGGTGAGAGAATTCTTTCTTAATGATTTGTTTGCTTAATTTTTTCCCCCACCAATTAAACATTTTTACTAATTAATTCTGTTCGCTGTATACGTCTGATGAAGTTATTTGGAAAATGATTTGGAATTTCAAATTTAATTTGCAATTAAATGTTAATTGACAATATTAATACTTTCCAATGTAATTAATATCTTTACATTATAATTATTACCTTTACTTCGCCGTTTACTGCAAACATCAATATTTTGTAGTGCGCTTTTACCACAGTCAACAAATCCTACACTATCTTATTTTAATTATCAGCTTGCATTAATGATTATCATAATCATTAATACATACACACAAAAACTTACATTAATGATTATTATAATCATTACTATATATTATTTACATGCACACACACACACACACACACACACACATACACACTGTCATTGTTCAAGCCATTGATAAAATTTTATTTTAAAATTTAATTGAATCCAAATTTTGTTTTTTTATTATCAACTTACATTAATGATTAGCATAACTATTAATATATATTATTCACACACTCACACACACACACACACACACACACACACACACACACACACACACACACATACACATACACACAAACACACACACACACATACATACCCATCATAATTGTTCAAGCGATTGATAAATATTTTAAAATTTAATTCAATTCAAACTTCATTTTTTTCTTTTGCTTTAATTAATAATACTAATTAATTGTCACGCTATAATTTACACAGCACTATGCTGCAATAGAATTTTATCATATCCAATTTTAGTCAATTTTTCATCACTTCAATTTCACAAATAATTTTATTAAAATTTTTAATTTTAATTTAATTTTGTTAAAATCTTTGAAAACTACAAGAAATTTCTCTTAGCAAATTGAATTTTAGTTTAATATATTAATTACAAATATTGTAATTTATTACTATTTTAATGTATTAAATAATTATAATTCTGAATTTTTTCTTTTTGCCACAATAAAATCATAAATGAATATTGGAATTGGTTGACTTAATAATAAAATGATATTATACAAAAGACCGTCAGTGGATATTGGAATTCGTTGACTTAATAATAAAGTGATATTGTATAAAAGATCATAAATAGGAATTGATTGACTTAAGAATAAAATGTTATTGCATAAAAGATCATAACTGAATATTGGAATTGATTGACCTAATAATTAAATATTACTGTGTAAAAGGTCATTAATGGATATTGGAATTAATTGACTTAATAATAAAATAATGATATTGTAGTCTATTATAAAGTTTAGTGATAAGAGAATGATAAATGAATTCATTTAAGTAAAAGTGATCGAAATTTTTTGTGCATACATTTCAATTGAAAAAGAATTAACAACTATAAATTAACTAATTAATTATTAAGGTATTAATTGTTTCAAACTTATACTCGTCATTTGTAGCTTTAAAAATTTATTAGGAAGAAAAGTTTTGAAAGTTTATTAAATTAAAATCAAATTTTTCATTTCATTTAATTTAAAAAACTTTTTTGCGTATATTTTTTACACCGTATAGCTAAATAAAAGTAAGGTGATAATGAAAAAATTTCATAATTAATTTACCTTTTTTTCACCTGTTTTTCTTTCTCTCTCTCTCTCTCTCTCTCTCTTTCTATCCTTTTTTTTCTAACTTCATTCTATATTTCATTATGTTGTCTGAAGAAATGAAATACAATATTTATTTCTTTTCTCTATCAACTATATCAAGTCATCAATTTGTTTCACTTTTCTTTAACTGTTAATTTAAATTTTTCAATGATCGTTAAAACAAAACAAATTAATAATATATTATTAATTCTAAAATTTCATTAAATTATATTAATTTTTAATAAAATGATTCAAATTAATGAAAATTTAACGAACAATTTTACGTTTACTGCATTTTTCAACAGAAATTTATTCCTTTTCGTTGAACAAAATAGATTATTGAATTACATTATTTAATTCTTTCTTAAATGTTGAAATTTTTCTAAATTAAAATTTAATTATTTGTTTTACAATTTTGCTTTCAAATCTTTTTCAATTTCAATATTTCAATTCCAATACTCAATAACTCAATAACTCCAATACTCAATGACTTGAATACTCAATCTTTTCCATCCCTTTCTTCTGCTATCTTTATCAAGAAATAAAGTAATATATTTAAAAAAAATCCTTGTCATTTTAAATTTGAAATTTTAGACGAACAAGAAGTATTGATGGGATAAAAGTAAAAGTATAATAGATGTTACATAGAGTTATATGTTATAAATTATATATTATAGTATATGTTATAAAATATTATATAATTTAATAAGCGTTCAGAAAATAACCAAAGAGCATAGAACGATAGTAGAGATGTAGTGAATGAAAATTGCAATGATTGTTGTAACATATAAAAGAGAAAACAAAGATCGATGATATTATAGAAAGATCATTAGTATTGTTACATATGAAAAAAAAAACAAAGATTGATAATAATACGGAAAAATCAATAGTGCAGGTGTTAGTTAGTGAATACAAGTGAAGTAATTATTGTTAGAAATAATTGTATGAAAGAGAAAACAAAGATTGATGATATTTGTTGAAAGATCAATAATGCAGGTATGATAGAATGAAAATGAAATAATTGTTCATTACACATAGAAGTAGAAAACAAGAGATTGATGATATTGTTGAATGGTAAATTAGATATGAAGAAAAAAATGGTTGAAGATATGATATGATGAAAAATAATTGCAGATAATAATTTGCAAGGGAATGTTAGGATGAAAACAATCTCATTGAAATATAATGGAAGTTTGAGATGGATAAGATGTTAAATACAGTCGACATTAAGTTGTTATTGGTTATTGATAGTGATTAGAGTAACAATGACTTTGATAAGTATTTCTCATACAACAAAATGTTCTTTTTCTACAGTCCGCCAGTGGCTTACCAGAGATGATAGAGTTCACTGATAAAATTCTGATAGAATTCTTCAAGCTATTACCATTCATTGAAATATAATGGAAATTTGAGATGGATAAGATGTTAAATACAGTCGACATTAAGTTATTGCAGGTTATTGATAGTGATTAGAGTTCTCAGTACTGTCTTCCACTTTAAGCTTGCCCAATTTGATAACTAACTTCAGTTGTGTGCGGATTATCAAGTTTATTTTATTCAATGCTTTCATCACTTTTTGAAGTCGGCGAAGTTTCTAATTTCGCTTAAGACATTTTTCACATGTTTCCAAAAAAAAGGTCCAAATTACACTCAAATACTTTTGACCTCTTACCATATCATCTACTGATTAACCAGTTTTATTTCTGAGTTATTTCTGGAGTATCGCAAGGTCACATTTAATGAATTGGATATTTTACGTTTCCGAATTTGGTAGTACCCAAATTTAGTTTTTAAATTATTGCTGAAGTATTGCAAGACCAAATTCAATAAATTGGATGCTTTACATTTTTAGATTTGGTAATATCAAGAATTTACAACATTCTACTTCGTGCGACATTTGGACTAAGAAGATCTTTCAGCTCGATTCTATCAGTGAATCATTT